CCCCAAAACCCCAAAACCCCAAAACCCCAAAACCCCTTCTAAATTCCATTTTTTTGAAAAATGTCTTAATTTAAAGAACAAATTTTTTAGGCCAAACAAGATGGTGTACATACTCAGTTAAATAATTTATAAAGAATAGAAAGAGGAATTGGCATGACGAAGAACGTCACAAGTTAGCCAAGAGTCATTGACATAACTTTGTTGCCCTTGAAAGAAGCTTTTTGGGAATTCTGGGAAGTTATGGCCTTACTTAGCTCGGCTACCCATTGCTTTACTTTAGCTTCTCCTCCACAGTCTTTGAAATAGAAGGTATTTTCCAGATCTGTAATCTCAAATTTGCTATTGCCTGTAGCATAAACTTTAGTATGTCTTGTGAGAGGAATCTCGTTTCTCAGTTTAGTCTTGTTGGCAGTGTAGTATACAAGTCTTGGAACTCCGTCCGTTTCACTCAGCTCCATGTATCTTCTCTTGTAAATGATCCATGCAGTAATCTTCTTTATTGGGCCCTCAAGGATTACTTTCTTCTCACTCTTATAATCAGCCTTTGAGATATATTTGGATGACCAATTTTCAGTTTTAAGTCTGGGTGTTGTAGGTTCAGGAATAGATGCAAAAGTGGTATCCCCATGATCAGAACTGCTTTGTTTAGAGTTGTCAGTCAGGGTACTCTTTGCATGAGGCCGAAATTCAATGAAATTATCTTCCTTAACTTCATCATCTTTTTCTTCCTGATCTGCCAAGTTTTTGATCTCTCTTTCTCCAAGAGAGCTACTCTTCTTAAGGTAAGTGTTATAAGCTTTGTTGGGGGAGTCTTTAAGAGGAGAGTTTAAGATTCCCTTTCCAATGGCAGGAGATTCACTAAAGTCCACGTCAAAATCATCTCCGTTGACAATAGAATCATATTCACTAGAAGATTCTCAATCCTCTTGGACATCTTTTAGTTGATCATATAAATCACAAAGAGGGGAATTCTTATCATCGAATTCTCCGAAGTCAAAGTCTGCAAAGAACTCATGGTTTCTTACCTGGGAGGCACTGAGTCTCTCTTCAGGTTTAAGCACTAATAAGCTCTTAATAAGATTTTTGGCTGCCTCTGGGAAAGTTTCAGGAATTTTATATTTACACTCCATAATACTTTGGAAAGTATAATACTCAGCTTTCTCAAGAGTAAATGGGGTATATCCACAAAAGAGCTGGAAGATTATCACACCGAGACTCCACATATCCGCAGCTGGAGAGCATCTTTTTCCCTGCAAAACTTCAGGAGATACATATTCCTTAGTGCCAACGAAGGTATTGAGTTTATTTTCTTCCTTCACTCCATCTTTATACTTATGATTTTTTATTTTTAGAGTTTTCCTGGCTTGCTCAGAAATCCCTGAGGATCCAAGGTCTCCTAATTTGAGGTGGCCTTCCTCAGTCACAAATATATTTTCAGGTTTGATATCTCTGTGAACTATTCCGACAGAGTGGAGGTACTCTAAAGCTAGGAGAACCTGGCTGATTATGAACTGTATATCTCTAGTTCAAAGCTTGATGCTGTCTAAACTGTTAGAAACAAGAGAAAACTTACAGATCTTCTTGAGCAGCTCTCCTAAATCTCCCTTCTGGCAAAGATCTGTGATAAGATAGATGCAGTTTTTGTACTATAATGATTAACAGCTGCTTATGAGTAACTTACAGCAAAACATTTCTTGAGTTTAATGATCCGAGAGTTATCTAGTTTGGACAACAAATCTCTCTCATTGAAGACCTGATAAATTTTATTTTCCTAAAGGAATTTATTAGATTAGGGAGCTGATAAATAGGCAACAAATTTTGAGAGAGATATACCTTCTCCATCTTCCTCTTTTCAATAATCTTCATAGCATATTGAACATCTGTTGATTTCTTTTGCACTTTGACAACTCTTCCGAAGGAGCCACATCCAAGAGTATCGAGCTCAATGTAGTTTAACAGAGGGTTCTTTTTCATACGAGATTCACACTCAGAATTTTCATTTGAAATGCATTTGTTAGAGGTTCAGTTAGTTTTCTGTGATTCTAAAACAACCAATTAGAAAATTATTTCCAAATTTGTGTGCTAAGAGAAGTATGTAACAAAACTAAGAAATTTTAGCAGCTCGGAAGACGTAATCTCCTGTTTTTATAACAATTTTGGTCACTTACCTTCTGAGATGGAGACCTTTTGCTCTTCCTTCGGCTTCAAGAAAATGCTTTGCTCCTGTATGTCCTCACTCTTAGTTGGAGCCTTAGTCTTATACATATGTTGATGAGATTCTATTAAATCATCAGATTTTAGCACAATTTTTAATGGATTTTAAAATTAAGAAATGATGCAAACATTTATCTACGGTTTTGAGGGAGGCTAACCATCAAAAGAGGGTTTAAAGTAACACAGATTTCTTCTATTTCACCCTAAAGTTAGAATCCGGTATTGGTGATTTCTTTCATTGGTGAGAATCTGGGGGAATTTGTGAAAATAAACCCTAATTGGCTAATGGACAAGGCTTGGAGATTACTCGCAAAATTTTTGCTATTTATAGCTCAAAATTATTCATTAGCTACAATAAGTTAGGGAGAAAAGATAAGTAAATTTTACATTGATGATACAATACCCGATGCTGGAGAAATTAAGAAGGAATATATTTTAATTATAAAACGGGTCAGCCTCTTTGAAAATTCGACTAAAGTTGCTGGCTGTTTTAAGTCTGCTACAATCCCGAATACCGCATGAAAGAATACCTTCTTAAGGAAAGCTTTATAATGCTCTGGTATAGTCTGGAAATGATTCTACTATGTTTGACAAACTCTTTAATAATAGACACAGGCTGTTCTACATGTTCTGTGAATGAAGAAATTTTTGATAATTCCTAGCGAACATTATCTGAGATTTCCTAGCGAATTCTATTCCACTGCATTAGTGAACTGAGCGTCAGCACTTTGAAGAAGTTAGCAGATAAAGGGACACATTGGTAAAAGAGCCTCCAATTTTGAAGATAACTTAAATCGAGGAGTATTCTATCAACTGCAGAGGTAACAAATGAACAAAAAGTTGGAAAAGAGACCGACAAATGATTACTTCTGCGAATGAGCAAGAATTGAACAATAATATAACCGACCGAGTCCGGATGGGAAAGTCTGACAAGAAGTTAAATGTGTCTCGATGATCATAATTAGGTGAATTTTTATCAAAAGCCGTTCTAATTTGAAATAAAGATCAAGTAGAAGCTATCAAGTATTTACACCCTAGATAAGTTGGATGAATTGTTGTACACAGGGTGAAAGCCCTGTCCTTAAATATTTCGAATTATTTTTAAACCTGACAAAATGCTAAAATTTTTCATTAATTTAAAGAATTATGACAAGTTTGATACCTTTAGTCGCAGAATTTTTTGAAAATTGAGCTTGGCAATTAAGGCCTTTGGCCTTAACCTTAGGCTCTTCTCAGTCTGCTAGTGTTTTTGGGGGTTGGATGACATTCATCATTTTAAATATATTATTACAAAGCTATATTTACAATCACAACTATTTATAGAGGGGTTTTGGGGTTTTGGGGTTTTGGGGTTTTGGGG